TAGAGTGGAACCATGTCAGTCTTGTTCCTTATTAATTCCTTGGTCTTCCCAGTGTTTACGGACAAATTGTTTGCCTCACACCACTCTACTAGATTGGCCTCTTCCCTGTAATGCTTCTCATCCCCTTTTGTGATACAACCTACTATGGAGGTATCATCTGCAAATTTGAATATACTATTTGTAGAAAAGCAGGAATACAGTCACAAGTATAGAGAGAGTAAAGAAGAGGACTCTATACACAACCTTGTGGTACTCCTATGCTGACCACATGCTGGGATGAAACATGCTTACCCAGTTTGACCACCTTTGGGCGGTCTATCAGGAAATTCAAGTGCAAAGGGAAGGGGGTATATTAAGCTTCAGCATCTTCTCCACCAATAGATCTGGGACATTGGTGTTAAAAACCGAACTATTGTCAAGCAACAACATTCTTAGTTGCCAGAATGTTCCAGGTGACTTAAAACCACATGTAGTGCAAGAGCTATAGGGTCCTCAGTGCTTCTATTGGGTCTGTACACAAATTGGTAAGGGTCAAAACTACCTGGTAAGGCTGTTTTGATATATTTTAACACCAATCCCTCAAAGCACTTCATTATTACTGGGGTGAGTGCAATCGGCCTATAGTCCTTCAAACTATCTATGTTTGCTATTTTGGTATTGGTGTAATGATAGTAAATTTTAAGCAGGTTGTACCACAACCAATAATAATGATCAGTTAAATATATTAGTAAAGACTCCTGCAAATTGGTAGGCACAGACCATAACAACCCTCCCTGGGACCCCATCTGGACCTGCCAATAATACTAATGGATTAACGAATTTTAGTATTGGAAAGGTTAGAAATTAATGCAAAACTTTGTTGGGTTCTTCTTAGTTCTCCACCAGAGAATTTCTAGTGACTTCCTCTCTTTGTGACAGTGGCCTTCTGGAAAGGAAAAAAAAAAAAAGTGAAAATCTCATCAATACACACAGGCATCAATAACACTTATTTCTAATAGTAGTTCGGTGGTTAACATATTGAAATGGAAATAAGAAAAATCTCCCCAGCTGAGACCCAGCCAGCACCTTTCAGTATTTTGTAGTATTCTGTAGATGACCTACTAAACCTCCAATTTGTTGCTATGTCTGAACAATACTTGCAGCCCCACAGCCACCCTCTATACCTGGACACTGGGTTATTCTGATTAGGCAAAGCTTTGACATCTGGTAGTGTTGAACTTTGCATTCTCCCTTTAAGCCTTCTTATCCTCATAATTGGCTGGCACACTGACTAATATGATGGATTGGTAGGATGGGACAGGTAAACTTAACACTACAGGGTTTAGTTACTAAAGCTGGAGAGTGTAAAAGCAGGTTCACTTCTGCATAGAAACCAATCAGCTTCAAGGTTTTATTGCCAAAGCTTAATTGAATAAGCTGAGGTTAAAAAAGCGGCATTTTTGCTTGCAGGTGATTGGATGATGGTGATTAGCAAAACTTCACCATGTTTACTAAGCTCTGGGGGGAAAAAGTGCAATTGCAAAGTGCTCAGTCTATTTCTTTTTAACAAATCAACCCCAATCTTTTTATTATTTCAGTTCTTTTCTTTGTCAGGTTACTCAGTAGGTAGGCATAGACACAAAATGCTTCAGGTTGTTGGACCTTGAACTGCATACTAGCTTGCTGATTAACAGTATCCTGGTTTTCTGTTAGTCTGGAGACTTAAAAGGATAAACTGCTTTAAAAGCAAGATATTTTACTTACTTTGGTTGGAAAGTTTCCTTACAATTTATGAGTCTGTGCCCACTGCACTACATCATGCTACTTTATTTGTAGCATATTTGTATTTATTATCAGTACTATTGGCAGAATGTGTGGAATATACAGTGAAGAGATTTACACAGACTAGTGCAGAATTCCTCATACAGTAGCAGAATGAAGATCTGCAGGCAGCTGTATATGCTTCCTTTATATTCGGTAAACATGTTTAGCCTGCACATAAAGTTGTCTACATTTTCCTTGCATTGATATGCTTTCTCTAGTACACATATCTGTGTTTCACTACTTTTGTATTTGAATACCGCTAATTTAAATTTGTTCCCTCCAAAGGCAGTCTGAGTTTGTAATATATTCAATAATTATACAGTTACATTTAGACAAAACGTATAATTTGCCAGTATTTACAAATGATTTATGGGGCCTCTCTGTGTAATAATATTAATACTATGTCTCTAGGAGGACAATTACAGATATTCAATAAATATGCACTGTGAATAGGTATTTGCTTGTTCTGCTTTTTGTTTTAAGATGTGTTAGGTCAGATACTTCATATGAAGCCCAATGTTAGGAAGAATTCTTAAGCAACGTATTTATGTGATTGGACAAAGCTATTAATTGCAAATACAGAAGGCGATAGGATTAACCAGGAAACCTCGCCATTCATACAGCAGTGTACCTTATACTCCTCTGTGGATAGCTGATATATACATTTTGGTACAGCTCACTGTAAATTCAAATATTTGTAATGAGGTGGTTGTAGCCATATTAGTGCACTTGCAACAAGAACAATTGCGTACTGTCCACTATACTTTTTTATTTGCACTAACATCCTAATTGTCAGGACAAACTTTCCATTTATACCCCCTTCATACTTGGACCTTGAAGAAGGGGACACACCCTGAAAGCTTGTCCTGAAAATCTGGATGTTAGTGCAAATAAAAAATGTATCATGGACAGTACTCAGCTGGTAATGTTTGTAATGGTAGACACCGACCCATAAGTACATTATGATGACTACAGTCCTATGTGTATTGAAAAACTAGCCAGTAGTTTTATTTTTCTGTAATAGGGTATTCTCTGTGTTTAATCTTTGTTATACAGCATTTAATAAACTTGTCAGCAGTATACACAGTATTTTACCATGACTCAACCTGCGGGAAGAGAATATACTGTAATGACCGTGGATTACTCATTTTAAATTGTGAATATACTGTATATAAGGATAAAGCCATGCATAATTATTTGCTGTAGGTTACAGTGTTATGTTAGTTTAACAAGTCAAATCAAGTACCTATGCTTCTAATATACAAATAAATACAAAGTGCAATTTAGGAATCACATCATCTAAATGCTCCCATTACTTATATATTGTGAAATGTATTTTTTATTTTCAATTAAACTGTAACCATATTTTTGGTTCTGCCATCACACTTTACAAAACCTCTCGTAAAGAAAACTTTGGAAGTGCAAGTAGAGCATTAACAATTAATAAGTACAGGTTACCTTAAGTAGAAAAAAAAATTATCAGTAGTGGGCTGAACTTAGCTGGAAGTTTCCACATTTCTTTGAACCTTAAACAGTAAAGAAATAAATAGGGGAATTGCCATTGCTGACTTGTTTTCAAAAGGTATAAGCACCTAGGTTATCATCTTGATCCTGGTTTCACCACTCAGTGAGTCAGTGACCTAAATCAAGAATACACAATGGGATTGTAGATTTTTTTTCAACTTCAGTGCCTTACCTTTTGTTCAAGCTTAGTGGTGGGGAAGCCAGTGTCGGGACATAGTCCTGGACCTTACATCATTGAAACCAAATCTGCAGCTCCAGTATCTCTGTCCTCACAGAACAGATTTCGGTACAAAATATGTGCCTCAGACTTGGCTCTTCCCAACATAATACGTAAAGCTGTACAAAGGGCACACTCATATAGCCATCTCTTAACTGATCTGGCTACAGAAATCCTGAAATTTGATTGATTGATTGTACTTCACTGTGCATGGCCTTAATTAATACTTCAGAATATGCATGTTTATTTATTACAAATATTTATATAGCATCAGAAATCTATATAGTGTTTTGCATATTATACATGCACACCAGTCCCTGTCCTCAAGGTGCTTACAATCTAAGGTCCCTACCTCACATGCATACATACTAGGGCTGAATAACCTACCAGCATGTCTATGGAGTGTGGAAGGAAAACTGAGTACCCAGGGGAAACACAGGCAAGCCCAGGGGGAATATGAAGACCCCATCCAGCTAGTGTCCTAGTTGGAATTCAAACTGGCAACCCTAGTGCTGCAAGGCAGGAGTGCTAACCACTATTCTGTTATATCTAATTTAATGACTGTCCCACGTACAAGCATGAAATCTGGATCCACCTTGTGGACTGGATCACTTAAACAAAACTAATCCTTCCTATTGAACAATAGGTACAAATCCTGCAAATACACATTTTTTGGAAGAGTAACATACCCGATATTGCCAAAAGTATAGGGACACCTGTCTTTACACACACATGAACTTTATCGGCATCCCAGTATTGTCCATAGGGTTCAATACTGAGTTGGCCCACCCTTTGCAGCTATAACAACTTCAACTCTTCTATGAAGGTTGTCCACAAGGTTTAGGAGTGTGTTTGTGGGAATGTTTGACCATTCTTCCAGAAGCTCATTTGTGAAGTCAGGCACTGATGTCGGACAAGAAGGCCTGGCTCGCAGTCTCCACTCTAATCCATCTCAAAGGTGTTCTGTCAGGTTGAGGTCAGGACTCTGTGCAGGTCAGTCAAGTTCCTCTACCCCAAACTCACTTATCCATGTCTTTATCGACCTTGATTTGTGCACTGATGCGCACTGATGTTGGAACAGGAAGGGGCCATCCCCCCAAACTCTTCCCACAAAGTTGGGAGCATGAAATTGTCCAAAATGTTTTGGTAGTCTGATACCTTAAGATTTCCCTACACTGGAACTAAGGGGCCAATACCAACCCCTGAAAAACAATCCCACACCTTAATCCCCTCCTCCACCAAACTTTACACTTGGCAAAATGCAGTCAAGCATGTATCGTTCTCTGGCAACTGCCAAAATCAAGACACGTCCATCAGATTGCCAAACACAGTAGCGTGATACGTCACTCTGCAGATTATGCCTCCACTGCTGTGGAGTCCAGTGGCGGCGTGCTTTACACCACTGCATCCGATGCTTTGCATTGCACTTGGTGATGTAAGCCTTGGATGCAGCTGCTCAACCATGGAAACCCATTCCATGAAGCTCTCTATGCACTGTTGTTTTGCTAATCTGAAGGCCACACGAAGTTTGGAGGTCTTTAACTGTTGACTCTTCAGACAGTTGGTGACTTCTGCATAATGTGCACTTCAGCATGCACTGACCCCGTTCTGTCCTTTCACATGACCTACCACTTCGTAGCTGAGTTGCTGTTGTTCCCACTTGCTTCCACTTTGTTATAATAATACCACTAACAGTTGACCGTGGAATATTTAGTAGCAAGGAAATTTCATGGATGGACTTATTGCACAGGTGGCAACCTATCACAGTACCACGCTTGAATTCAGTAAACTCCTGAGAGCGACCCATTCTTTCACAAATATTTGTAGAAGCAGTCTGTATGCTAGATGCTTGATTTTATACACCTGTGGCCATGGAGGCGATTGGAACACCTGAATGCAATGATTTAGAGGGGTGTCCCAATACTTTTGGCAATGTAGTGTATATTGCATGGTCATATGTTTAGGAGAGATCATGCTAAATTGAGCAGTTCTCAGGGATATGAAAAGCTACTGCCAAACAGTAAAAGCTTCATACTGCAGCACTTGTCACATGGAAGTGTATGGGCTACATGATAGTCGGTATCACTAAGAAGAAAATAAAATTTGTTTTTTTTTTTCAGTGAAAACAGACTAGGGCCTTCTTGAAGCAGAATATATCTGCAAATACAAGAAAATAAGGGGTTACTTTTTGTTTCAAAATAGTGTGCAGACCCTTGTAAATTATTTATTTATTACCCTGGGTATAAAGCATAGATACAGTCTATGATTATAGAGTCCTTTATTCAAATCCGCATAAACTTTTTTCATTTATTGGCTATCATCAGGGTAGTAGATTGAAACAATGATATCTAAGAAGTAGGAATATTTAGCAACAAGTAAATGAACCCCACTGTCTTCTACAAGAAGTAGGCCAATTAATCATCATCAGTAGTCTTGGACATGTAAGCTTAATTAACCCCTTCCCACTGACAGTACACATGTATATGGCCCCACTGGAGCCGCATGTATGCATATCTGTGTTTGTGCTAGGAGCGCTCTGCACAGCGTGCTGCCACAAAGACCGAGGTCTCACTGGGATCACTAAATCCCATACTAATGATCGAGACCCAGAACTCCCTGTTTCGGGTCACCTGATTGCTGTGATAGTGTCTGATTGTCTTTCACAGTGATCAGTCACTGTGAAGCCTGCCCCTGTGCTTAAATTCTCTCTGAATAGAGAAAACGATACATGGTATTCCTCTCGCTCCATGCAGAGAAGGAAAAAATAATAATTAAAAAAAATACCTAGATCAAAGTTTGATCAAGGTTAGTGCCAGGGTTAGTGTTTGGGTCAAGTAAGGGTCAAAGGTCAAGGCCAAAGGTCATGGCCAGTATATTTTGAGCAGGATTTAGTATCCGTGTCAGTTAGTGTCAGTGTGTTTTTAGGTAGGATAAAAAAAAGCAAAATATGCATTGTTTCTCGGCCATACTTCAGGTACTTACAACAAGTAACATATACATATGTGGTATCATTGCAATTGTTGGGAGCTGGAGAATTTATTTTGGGTTTTTCTTTGGTGGTAGGTTATGGTAGTAGCAAGAAATATTCAGCTAAATTTAAAATTTTTTGTTTACTATTTTTGGCCAGTTTTCCTTTGATAATCTATCTGGATGCACAGTTGTGATGATATCTTTGGTTTTACTAACACATGACAACATTGAAAAATTGTGCTTAGGCATTAGTATTTGGTTTATCTGTAGATGGGAAGTGGTTAAATAATTGTCTACTGAATAGATATTTCCATTTTATGCAGCTTCTTGTAAGATATATTGCAGGCTGGCTTTTCTCTATCAGCCATTTCCAGTTTTAAGATATCCCAATCAAAATTCTCAGTTTCCCTATCATGCCAAAGCCAATATTAGGTCAGATGATGGTGTCACACTCCTCCAATGGATTCAGCACTATAAAGTATTAACATATCAGTGAACATCAATGAAATCCAACTGTGAGAAAGTGACCTGTTGGGGGTAGTGGCACAGAGATTACTGAAGGGCGATATTGTCAAGACTACACATGTTCAGAAATGAAAGAATTAATTACAATATAATACAATACATCACTTCCAAAGTTGTATTCTGTCGTACGAGAATTTTCGTATTTTAGTAACCTATTAATTTTCAATATGAGAGCAGCATGCAAAAAAAAACAAAAACGGACGATCATTCGTCCGATATTCTCAACGTGTGTACCAGGCTTTAGAGATAAGGCAAGCTGGCAATCCAGTCATCTAACCAGTGCCAAAAAAAATATTGGTTTTGGATTTCATTATCCTTTAAATGATTACGGATGTCCTTTAGCTAACTTCTGCTACTACTATCATATCTTAGAGAACCTGTTTCTCAACCTTATATGTTATACGCAAAATATATGGATTTACAAATCATAGGTGTTTTCCAAAAAGGTATTTGCATGAGATATATAGCAGTATTTGCATCATGTGAAAGCCTGTTCACATTGCAGTTGCCTGCTCGGCTGCTGTTCTCTAAATCAATCTGCCATGCCCTTGAAGAAACACATAAAACATCCTTTTCCTTTCAGTTATTCTCTGCCACTTCCACCCACTACCCATATGTACAGCTTCTGCAGCTCCTTCGACGAATTATAAAATTAAGCTATTGCATTTTTACTTTTTTTAATTTTACAGTAAGCAATCTATCTGCTAAATAATAGATTATAATGTAATGTAAAATATTATGTGGCACTCACAGCAAGATTATAGATATAATGTCTTTGTGGCTATACTTTACAGTACTGACCCTGCAGGTATCTGTATTATTGGCTAACACAACTTCTGACTGAAATATTAAATGTGAGAGTGTTTTGATGATATGCTTGGATATCACAATGTGCAGATAATAAACTATGTAACAACTGATTTTGTCTTATCTTTGAGCTCCCGTAGTTTACAGTTTTGCAACCCAGCATCTTCACTGCTTTGAGTTTGTTTTTCATATGTAAAATAAGAGAAGCTAGTGTGTAATTCTATCCAAAAACATACACCAAAAGGTAAAAGAGATGATATAGTATATATAGTACCTATCTTTTACAGTGATTGTAAAGGTTTAAATGTTATTTTTTAAAAAGACAAACATGTCATGCTTACCTGCTCTGGGCAATGGTATTGCACAGAGCAGCCCTGATCCTCCCCTACTTGGGTCCTCCGCTGGTATTCCAGGCTCCTTCCCATCACTGAGTGCCCCCAAAGCAAGCCACTTTCTATAGGGACACTCATGTGGGCTCACTCCTAAGTCTGCTTTGTGTATCCATACTCCCTCCTCACTGGCTGTGATTGACTGACAGCAGCGGGATCCAAAGGATTCTGCTGCTTGTCTGAGCCAATGGGGAGGCACAGATCCAAGAAAGTATCTGCTCTCGTGCACATCACTGGATCAAGATCAGGTTAGGTATGTGTATAAGAGGGCTGTTGGGGGAAGCTGCACAAAGAAGGTTTTTTACCTTGATGCAGAGAATGCATTAAGGTAAAAAACTTTCTGCCTTTAGAACCATGTTAATCCTGTCTTGCTGATTGGCAGTCACAACGGTCACTTGCAAGTATGCATTAGGAGCTTTCTGGTACTCATTTGTAACTGTTCTAGGGGAGCACAGGGAAGCACTCTCACAGCACAGCAAAGTGTTTTACCTAGGGCCGCAATATATGCGGATGCTCTGCGTTAAATCCCACCAACCGGGAGGCCACATATATGTACCAGATCGGTGGGAAGAGGTTAAGGGAACCTGCCACTAACAACAAAAAGGTTTTTAAACCACAGTTCAATAACACAAATTCGTTGAGTCTCACAGTGTTTGGATTAGTGCCATAAGGCAATATAAAATTCAGTTTAGAGCCAACCATGCTGAATAATTGTTTGCATATTTTTTGCCCCTTTCACATGAGTGGATCGATGGGGTCCGTCTGTCCGGTTTTCAGGCAGACCCGATCAGTCCATCCATAGACTTCTATGGATCAGCGGGTGTCAGTGGACAATAGTCCACTGACACCCATTGGCATCCGATTCGATCCTGTATGCCAAAAACATTCCTCATCCGTCTAGGGGGATCAGGTGACAATCAGGTGGAAATGGACAGGCAGTCCGGTTCCATCCAACCATCTCATTAAAATCAGCAGGCTGTGTCTGCTCTGCAGCAGTAGAGCGGACAGAGACCTGTCATCCACCAGCTCAATGGAGAGATCCCCCGCTGAACAGGCAGATCATGCTGACGGATCTGCCCTGTCTGAAAGGGTCCTTAAGTAGCCAGGCACAAAGAAGTGTCAGGGGGTTTGATTCTATACAGCCTTCTGTAAAAGTCTGTGTACTGTTTAGCCACATAGTTTTTTTGTATAATTTTAAAAAATTTTATTAATTCTCCAATATAAATTTACAAAATAAATTGACAAATACACAAAATTGACAAAAATCCAAACATTATTATGCTTGGATAAATGGGGAAGAAAAAAAAAACATAAAAGAAGAAAAGACAGAGAGAAAAAAAAAAATACATGCACATTATCCTACGCTTTACTTTTTAAAAGATCTCCCAATACAGAAAAATAGCTATTGATCTGCCTGAAATGCGCTTGGCTCCTTATGGGCTGACAACACCCAGGTTTTTGAGTTCTAGTTTTGTAAGCCCTGCTTACTGCCTTTTCCTAAACTATTCAACCACTCCCACTCTCAAATCTCTACAACATGAAGACTAATCATTCTGTAGTGCATGATAAGCACTAGGAGGGCTAAATATCCTTTTCTTTGGGATAACACAAGAAGTGTACACAAGATAGCTCTGAAGTTGAACTGTTTTTTTTTTTTTTTTTTTCAACTAATCAGATATGAAATCACTTTCAGTGGTGTATTTAACAGACCATAAGGGAACAAATAAGATGAGTACATTGTCAGGGTTTGCATAGACTTTAAGGCATAAAACCATTGATTCTAAACTGGTAATTTGTAAGCATAAATATTAAAAGGAAACCTGATTTCTACAACACTTTGATCTTGTTTAACACGTGACATCACTATAATAAACACACAATCCAGCATTATATGAATATGTACTCCTGTCCCATAGTAACTTAAATGGTATCCTGAAACCCTAAGCATTCCAGAGTACATATTTTTCACTGTGTGAATCCCTATCTCAGGTATGTTTCTGTGTGCTTGTATGATTGTCCATGTTGTTGTAAGGAGTATATTCTTTGTTATGTGCCTAAGTTTTCCCAACTCCCATAGTATTTACATTTTGCTTGAAATTTTAATTTTGTCTATTCATTCTAGTTGTTGTCCACATTCCGCATCGCTATA